ACAATCATAAATATCAAATGCGCCATATTTTAGGGTCTCTCCACTGTGCTGCGGTCTCTGTGGGTTTTTTACCCTCCGAAACGAACCCAGAAAGAGATAGCCATGCAGAAAGAGCGGCAGAGAGGGAGAGAGAGAATGGTTTCACTTTTGTTTGGAGCACTCTGGCGACACCTGGCGGCTGGTGGCGGCGCACCATGACTCACATATCCAGCCCCAAGAAACACTCTGGCAGCCAGAGAGCCCAAAGCCGAAGCCCCAGTCACAGTCCCAGTTCCAGCTAGAGGAGGAAAAACAAAAAAAAAAACAGAAAAAAAAGTGCATCATAAATTATTTCCACTCTGGCGTTTTTCCTCAGTCAACCTTCCTTCGTTGTTGTTGTTTTTGTTGTTTTCCTTATTTTTCCGAACCATTTTCATTTGCTAAAGTAGTCACACGGTCAGCGCCGGACCACATTTGTCGCCGGCCAAAGCGAAATCGAAATTGAAATTTGAAAATCCTGGTTCCAGCCTCCGTCTTCGACTGTAGTAGATGAAGGCCCAGAGACTACGGGCAGCAGCCGCTGCCACTGCCGCACTTTTGGTCACGAATGTCGGTCAAACGTGTTTTGTTTGCTATTTTACAACTTTAAATATGCCACACAATGGCCAAGCCTCCTGCACCTCACCTCTTCCACTTGGTCTCCCCCTCCACCACATTGGGGCACATGCATACCTAATTTTTGTGTGCATATTTCTCCGGGGATTATCACTCTGTCACACTCCCAAGCTGCCAAGCTGCCAGGCTACCTAGCTAACAGCTACAGCTACAGAGCGGCGAATCAGCCACGATCTTTGGTCTTCGTCTCTGTTCCTAATTCCAATTACAATCCAATGTGGCAGTAGTCTAATTTTGGTGTTTTTTTATCAAGTCATAAGAGGATTTTCATTGAGAAAATTATGGCGGGGGATACATCCATTATCATGATAAAAAGAAGCTGTGATTGATATTGAAATTAAGGAGCGGATTTGGAAGTTATTTATTAACAGATTTAATCATAATTAAAGGAGATTTCCGAGCTATAACTAAATGGGTTATGGAACGCACACACATATCTCTGCATTAATATATGGAACTCTTTATAATAGAATCAATATACATATGATTGATATTTATAGAATTTAAGCAGCACTTGCAGCTCAATGCCTTCCATTCCATAAATGATTTAAAATTTTAAAACGTTTATTCCAGCTTATGTACCTTTAATTTTGAACGATATTTTAGATATTACTCGTACATGCTGCATATTTACTAGACACAAAAACTTGCATAATTTCATGGTCAATTAGAGTGACTTCTTTCTGTGTAATTTTGCCTTTCACCAGTAGTTCCCTTTAAAGAGTTTTAACAGCTGACTAAAATGATGCGAAAATTTCACAGCTTGTTGGATGTTTTTATTGGCCAACAATTAGTCCGTTTAGCAGAGACGCTCACATGGAAAGAAAAAAAAAAACACTGAGACTTAAGATTAAAGACTAAGATTAAAGGTTCTGCCTTAATGGCACAATTTTTAATGGTATTTCCATTTGGCTTTCCGCCAGTGCTAATCTAAACCCAGAAATCTATGGGCACTTCCTTCTGCCACATGTTGCGCCACACACGAGCCCACTCTTGCCCGCGGTGCAGTCAAATCAGTAAACTATTTAGCCCACTAACAAATTTCTCACATAATTCACAAAACGTCGGTCGGTTGTTTAGTAATACGGAAGCCGTTTCTACCAGTTGGTTGGCAAAATTTCACTTCAGTCCGTCGGCTGATAAGTCGCCAGGCACAATTTGCAGGCACTCAAATTTGAATTTCATGTCCCTTTTATCGGTGCGACTATCTAACGCTTAGCCTACGTCTACGTCGCCGTCGCCTTCGCCATCTCCGTCTCTTGGCCAGCAACTAGAAGCCCGGCAATTGTGTTTGAGTTTTTCGTTTTGGCAAATTTGCCTGGCCATAATAGCATTTCGTGCTGGGGGTGGGGGGGAGCGGTTTTTAGCGCCTTATTGGGCGGACGGCGGCGGTTCAACGGATTGATGTGCACTGTGTGAAAAAAAAGATTTTTCGGTTTCTCGATATTTTCGGCTAACCACAAAAAACGTTATAAAATATAGAAAATTATGCGCATCGGCTACTGGTTGATGGGGCTGCCTCTCTCACTCTCACTCTCACTCTCTCTCTATCTCTCTTTGTGCCTGCCTCCTGGTGGTTGTCATCAAAAGCGGCGCCGCAGTCGGATCGGTTTTTGGGGTTGCTGTTGGCTGTTGGCTGGCACTTAACACCTTTTTGACACACAGCCAGCGACGTCAAATGCAAATGAAGATAAATCGCTGCCTCTGATCTTTTTAGCACCTTTTTGCATACATTCCAGCAATCGGTGGGGCAGCAGCGACTCCTGCCCAAGCTCCGCTGACAGCCGACACAAACATGCAACATTTTGTCGCCAGTTGTACAAACTCCTGACTGTTGACTGCTCGCTGCGCTTGCTGCCAGTACCTCGAATGTTGCCTGTGTTGCATGGTAGTTTTTTTTTCGGGGATTATGATGGCAGCCCAGGCGGCACTTGAGGTCCCTGATAACCAGATACCCTGGAAATTTCAGTGCTTTAAACAGTTCGAAACTGTTAAAATATATCTGCAGAGGCGCTTTCCAATATCCCTGAGCATTGGATGCTTGTGTGGCCAATCTGTACTGCCAAAAACCCTTCGCTTTACGATTACTTGCTTGGCCTGGCTGGGCTTGGCTTGGCCCTTTCATCAAACCCAATACCACCGAGCGTATCCAAGCTTCGAGTTGATGGCTTAACCTTTCCTTTTCTTCTTCTGCCCACTGAACGTTTGCAACGTTGTCAATAAGGTCAAGGGGGGAGCTGCCACTGCCACTGCTGCTGCTGCTGCTTTTGCAGTGGCTGTGAGGCACATACATATGAGGGGCACAATCAGAAAATTATCAGCCTGCACCGGAGAGGCGTCGTTGTCGTTGTTGTGGCCGTGCTGCGCTGCCTGGTTGTCATTGTTGTGGTGGGGTCTGTGCCTGTGCCAGGGACAAATGGATGTCTGGACGGATGAGGAAGTTGTTGTGGAGTCTGTGTGGTACGATCGGGTCTGCATTTGTTGCATGCTCCAGCAACTATCGGCTGGCAAAACGGCCAGCAGACTATCGGCAGCAGCAGCAGCATTGTCGCGTTTTTTGTTGTCTTTTATTTAAATTACGAAATGTTTTGTCAACAATTTGTCCAGTGATTTATTTGCTTTTGTGGCAACGGTGGCGATGGCGACTCATGGCGACTTGCCAGCGCCAGCGCCAGTGCCAGTATCGTATCCGGAGGCGGCAGCGGCAGCGGAGGCAAACACAATAGCATAGCATGGCCAATGGTGTGGCTAATCGGAGTTGCAAGTTATCAGTGGAGAGTACACTGGAGTGACAGGTGCATAAATTGCATTTAAAATCGAAAGTTTGAGCTCTGGCTGGGCAGACGACGCTGCCGCTGCCGCCGCCCAGAATGAAAGTGAACGACGTGCATCCATTAAATGTGTGCCACTCATCCACTTGGTGGCATGCCACTGGCCACTGGCCACTGCTCAGTGCATTGACTCTGCTGCCTGCCGCAGCTGCTGTCCATCAGAGAACTTTCGATTTCGATTGCGTAGTGCGTTCGTCAACCAATAGCGAGGAGACTTTCCATTGTGGCTCGTTTGTTGAACCGATCGCTGCCACAAAAAGCGGGTGACGGATGGCAGGGTCAGGAACTGGCACTGGCACTGGCACTGGGACTCGGACAACAACTGCCTGCCTGCCTGCCTGCCTGCTGGCTGGCTGCCACAGATCACACAAGAAACACATATTTCTTGCCAGAGTTTTCGGCCTGCTGCTCGGATTCGGATTCGGATTTTTTTTGTTTGTTTTGAAGCCCCCATGAGTGACACACAATTGCGTTTTTTGCGCATAGTTCCGTATTTGGTCACAGATAATGATGTGAAATGCGGCCTGCCGCTGCCTCCAACATCCCTCCCCCCCCACCGCAAACGACAACGAAGACAGGCCTCAACCACAGCTTCAGAGGCGAAGACCAAGTCCATAGCTGCAGCTACGACAGACAGCTCCACAACAAGGCAATCACCCACTCAAAATTGTTGCGGAAAAATTGTTGGCCAGGCCAGGAGTCGGAGTCGGAGTCAGGCGGCCATTCGGATGGATGCATGTAAATGAGTGAAAATGTTTCAACTTAATTCTGTTTTTGTGCGTTGAAGCCACGGTTGCCAAGGGGCCAAGAGGCGGGAGGAGGGGCGCTAGTATCGTCATGGAGAGAAATTCAACAAAACCTTAACAGGAGAAATGACACTGAGAAAAAAATTATATAAAATTTAGAGACCAGCAAAGCGAAGTAAAGGAAGCTTACTTTTTAAAATAAATAAAAATAATAAAATAAAATAATAAATAAAAAAAAAATAAATAATAAAAGTAAAAATAAAAAAATAAATAAAATAAATATATACACTTAGACTAGGAAACATTTTTAAATGTAAAAATACTAGAATTTGGGGACTTAAAAGGAGTCCAACTCTGAAGCTGCTACTTTTCTTAGGGAGTGCCAAGAAACAAAGAGAGAAAGAGAGCGTGCATGACTAATATAAAAACCCACCCTTAATGGCTAAGCCACACTGAGAGAGGTAACAAGAAGGCAGCCACTGTCAGCCATAGAAATTATGTTTCTTCTTCATGCTATAAAGACACTCAAAATAAATTCTATATAGAAGCATATATAACTATTCACGTAAAAATCAGCTGAAAAATGTAGAAAGTCTGAAAATCCAATTAATTTCCCTATTAGTATCAATTTTCTAGAAAATTTCCCACTCCTCGTAGTGCCACTTTTCAATACATTTTCTCTCACTGTATACACTGCCTGCCCTGCGCGCATGCCCCAGTCATACTGCCTGTTGTATTGCCATTGCCATAACAGTAACTGGGTTTCCAGTTGATATTTGTCAGTAGAGAAAACATTTGAACCAAAAACAAAACACAAATCGGTGTGAACGAACGCTTACGAAGGCTTACATTGAAAATGGAGGCTGGTTCTGGTACCACACTGGATATGGATGCCGGCACGCCACCGGCAGAGCCGGAGGGAGGTGTGCCGGAGACACCCTTGACGGCCAAGCCCACAAAGCCATATCTCAAGAAGTTCATAGAGCCCGAATCCGATGAGGAGCTGGTGGGTGATCTGCGGCAGCTGTACAATGTCCACGAGTCCTGGCGCACGCTCCTCTCGCTGCCCAGCTGCCAGAAGGTCATGGTCTCGTTAGTGGCAAGATGTTTGGTGATGACGGGGGGGCCACTCACTCTCGTCTCTTCCCTTTGCGCAGAGAGAACGCTCAAAAGAATATGCACATCGAGGTGGGTCTCAATGTCACGCAGGAGTTCCCCTGGAAGCAGGTGACGTTCAAGGATCTGCGGGACATTCTCTTCGAGGAGCTGGAGAACGTGATCGATCTGATGAAGCTGTTCAAGAACTTCAATCAGGACAACTACGTGCTGATCGGCTTCTGTCCCCTTCTAACCGAGGCCGACGAAGATCCACCCGAGGGCGATCCCTTCATCTTCTTTTCCAACCCCAAGGATACCAAAACGGCGATGGGCATCATTCAGAATATGGAGGCTTTTGAGCGCTGGCGCATGCAGCGGCGCCTGCGCAAGAAGCCCCGCCGCTGGGTGAGCCAGGGCACCGAGAACGAGATGACCATCCTGGTGGAGCACTTCAAGGACGAGCCCATAGACGTGGAGATCCAGAGCGTGTACCCCATCCAGGAGCCCAAGCATTTGGCCTTTGACTATCGCATGGCGAGGGATGTGCGTGACGGTGTCATCGAGCTGCTGCCCAATGAGAATATAAAATTCGATAATGTGACACGTCGTCGCATAACCGTCTCCGTGCAGTCCGCCCCGGCACTGATACATCGCGAGCAGCAAACGAATCCCACTTTCCCCTCGAATGCCTGGTCGCAGTATCTCTACGAGATCGATGAAGGAGGCAAGTGAATCGGCAAGGGCCGATTGGGGGAGCCATCACTGGGCTAATAATCTCTGCCTTGCATACCACAGATCTGGAGCTGGACGAAACCGATGTGGAGGAGGAAGAGGGTAAGTTGCCAAAGCCCACAAGCCCCGTGGAGCCGGACGAAGAGGTGCCCGTGAAGCCGCCACCCGAAATGTCTGAGCAAATCAAGCTGCTGCTCAACACACTCGACTTCAATCAGATCGACAGCTATCGGTGGGTGTAATCCCTGCACTATGCTCTATGCTTTATCCCGAACGAAATGGAACTCTCTTTCGCTCTTTAGCGATGACTATCTGCTCATCTCGAACAAACAGGTGACGCAGTACACCAATCAGTACCTGCAGGAGTTCATTTGCTTTGCGAACATCTCGAAGAGCAACAAGCGATTTGTGGCCGGCTATGACTGGTATCCGCGTCTCTCTGGACTGATTGCCGTCTCATATGCGTTTAGCACACCGGCCACCATTAATGTGGCCACCAATCAGGTGGACTGGGTGCAGCAGGCGGTCCTCCAGCCGAATCCTGTGCTGATGTGGAGCTTTGCGGATAATTTGAACTACAAACTGGAGTTTGAGGCGCCCATCGAGACGACAGCGCTGACATTCTGTCCCTTCAATGGCGATCTGCTGCTGGGCGGCTGCAAGAACGGACAGGTGGTCATATGGGATCTGCAGGGACGCTGCGAGCGGCTGGACGAGGAGGAATACCTGACGGCCGCCCAGGCCAAGTACCGCACAATGATTGGGGACTTTCTCAATTGGACCATAGAGCTGGATGAGGATGTGGTTATCGCACCGGCCACCATATCGCCGCTGGAGAACTCGCCCAAGGGCGCCATCACCGGCTTCTATTGGCTGGGCAAGCAGTTCTACTTGAATCACTTTGGCAAGGTGTACACCGATCCGGACACACGCGTCCAGCACAAGTTCTTCATAACGTGCGCCTTTGATGGCACCGTCAGCTTCTGGAATCTGGAGCCGAGCTCCAAGCGGGAGAAGGACAAAATGCGGACACGTCTGCTGCCCAAGGAGCTGACCCAAAGCGAATCGCCCATCAAGGCGCAGATGGTGAAGCCCACCTACAATCTGTACTTCAATGAACCGTTGACCGGCATCATAGCGGACACATCGGTGTTTTCGATTCGCACACCGCCGCCCAAGATGATCATGGAGAGCCCTGCCAACTATCCGACGTCGCTGGTGCCCAAGAATCCGCCCACGCTGCGCCAGTCAATGATCGTGTCCACCTTCTATGGGCACATTAATCGCGTCGAATGGCTGGGCATGTACACGGAGGCCGATCCCAAGGAGATTGTCAACAGTTCGGTGCAATTTGCGATGGTGCACGATGGTCCGGTGGTGTGTGTGCGCAAGAATCCCTTCTATCCGGAGCTGTTCGTCTCGATTGGGCGCACTGTGTTCGCCCTGTGGAAGGAGGACTATCCCTATTCGGCGATCTTCTGGCGGAAGCGACCCTGCGACCTCACCGCCGTCTCCTGGAGCGAAACGCGTCCCGCTGTCCTCTACATAACCCGCATCGATGGCATACTCGAGGCGTGGGATATACTGGGTAAGCTGAACGCTCTCTCTCTGTCTTTCTGTCTCGAGGGATTTATTTCAATAGCGAATGAATCCCTTAGCTCGCGACGATGATGCCTGTCTGATTGAGATACTGGGCGGTGGCATTATCACTGGCATCACCGAGCATCGACCCTCGCTGCCGTACAAGATCCTGGGCATTGGGGACTACAACAGCAGCATTCGCATGGTGAAGCTGCCGCACAGCTTCGATGTGCCGCTGGACAACGAGCTGCAGAAGCTGATGAACTATGTGCTGAAGGAGGAGCGTCGCAAGATTGGCATACAGGCCTGGGAGCAGAAGTACTACGAGCTCAACAAGGACATCATCGAGGCGAAGCGCGAGGCCGAGGAGGATACGCGCAAGGAGATGGAGCGCATCGAGCGGGAGGAGCAGCTGAACAGCCGCAAGCGACAGGCGGATGCCGAAGAGGAAAACGCGTAAGTCCAGCCATCACCTTCTGCCCCTCCCCAACCAACTGAATGCTGAATCTTCTGGCAGTGCAAGCAGCAAACCTACCGCTGGATTGGCCTACAACGAGCGCATGGCTGTCCTCTGGGACGAGCTGAATCTCAATCGCATGATGACCATTCTGATGTCACGCAAGCAAATGGATCCCGAGAAGCTGGCCCGCGAGACGGCGCTGCAGAAGGAGCAGCTGAGCTACGAGGCAGCCAAAAAGGAGTCGCACGTGAAGCTCCTGTCCACGCTGGACAGCGAGATCAACACCATCCGTTCGCGCATCCTGCCCGCCGAGGTGCCAGACCTGCAGCGCAGCGAAATGATCCAGGAGCGCATTAAGCACGAAATGGAAATGGCAGACACGTATGAGAAGGTGGCCGAGGACTCCTTTGAGATTCTCAACATGTTCAACGAGTTCAAGCCCATCGACTACATAGAGTTCCTGGAGCGGGGACGGCAGCGTCGCCAGCTGCTCGATCAGTCGCTGGGCGGCAACACGGATCGGCTGCTGTGGTACCAGGAGAAGGTGAAAAACATGGAGATCTACGAGTGCCAATTTGGCTATGAGTTCCTGTACAGCAATCAACCGGAATCGGAACGTCCGAGTGATGTTCCAGCGATGGCAGAAGCCCTGCAGTCCAACACGGACACAAAGAGTCACACATCGGAGTAGGTTTCTACTCCTTCTACTCTATCCTTTGCTGCCCAGAAGTATTTTATTGTTCATAAATGTTGCTAATATTCAAGAGTTTACCCTGAGTTTACCCCCTTCCAGCTAACCCAATTGAAACCCTGAACTCTGCCGTCTCGCTTGATTGACTCTTGTTGGTTTTGCCAAAAAGTCTCGTACAAATTTTTGGGTGCCTAGTGAACCCTGAAGCCCCGCTTCCGCTTGCTGTATTGGGTTCAAGTTTATGGCATTTCTAAGCAGGCGCAGGCAAGCACACACAAATGAAGTCATCTGCAGGGCGTGCCATGGGTTTAATGAACCTGCCCCCCCATTCATGTAACCCATCATCATCAGCGGATTCGCTGTTGGATTTCCCACACATAAGTGGGGAGCCTCTGATCGGGTCGAGTTGGGGTCGGGGTCGGGGAGTGGAGTTGGGCTGCAAGTGGAGTAAAAGGCAAATGGACTGCGGGCAGTCCATCATTTTTCGCAAGCGGATAATCATATACATTTCGGAAGCAATGTATCTCTGAACTTTACCATAATTTCGAGTGCATTATTATTGGCCAGAAAACTGTTGCATCATCATGGGTCTTAACTGTGGGGCTGTGGCAGGGGCTGTGGCTTGGGACCACCTGTTGTCCTTAAAGCGATAAGTATTAAGTGATTTCTGGACAGACAGACTCTCTCTCTCTCGCGTTGGCTCGTTGGTTCGCATTCGCATTCGCATTTTCCTTTTATTTATTATTACAAATTTCATGCACACCTCGCCGTGCCTCGCATTGCGTGCGTCTGCAACTGTGGCAAGGTGCATTTACATAACAATTGGCCTTTGAATTCAAATTGGCAGCAAGACAGTGGGGCAGGCAGTGCCAGCGGTGACGGAGACTGCATCAAAATCTGTTTACCGCCATTTAAAATTATTTACGATGCTATGCAAATCGCTGCATTTCGTTGCACACGCCGCGCCTGCCCCCCCAACACACTTGTTGCACCGTGGCCCCACCGTGACGGGGCATAAGCAGCCGCCGGTGTGCGCCGCAACTGCCCAGGAATTAACCACACAGCACCACCAGCCACACCACACACATACTATATATCGATTATTCACGCCCATTGTGAGCAGCAGCCGACGAATAATGGGGCCGAAGCGATCCAAAAGTGCAGTCGCATTGCAGGTGCCACAAGTAGGTTCGACATGCCGAGCAATGGCTGTGTTTACACTAGGGCTATGCTCGAACCGTTGGAATATATGGGAGTTTCTTTGCTTTAAACTATAGCTGTAGATCATAGATACTTTATACACAGACAACTTTAGTCAATGGCTATGATTATATGTATGCTTTGAAGCTCTTAAAAATCGGAGTCGAATATAAGCCCTAACATTGCTTTATAAACAAATAAATTTGATTTACATTTCTGTGCCCAAAAAAATAAAATAAAAAATTAATTAACTTTAATTTTGGCTCAGAATAAATGCTTAAAAATTCCCATAATACTAATTTTGAGTGGATATAATGGGAATGGAAATTTGAATAGTATAAAATCCAGGAGAGAGTAAAAAGATATAGCTAAAGTCGATGGAAAAATTCGTAAAGTAAGATTTTCTTGGTAATTTGATAGCCTTTGATAGGATATAGTACATGTGTAACCTCTTCAAGTCAATAAACTCCTAGCAGCATACAACATTTTTATAGTATAAATAATATTATTTCCAAATATATCGTACTATCTTATGTATCTAATATCATACGCATTATATTTAAATACTTCTTAGTACAAGTAAATATATTAAAACTGGTCCATTCCATACATTAATTGGCGCATAATTATATATGTCAGACTTGACGGATCTTTGCAGATACTTTTGGTATTAATCACACTTTTAAGGACGGACTCAAAGTCGGTTCCAAGCATTTATTGAAATTATTGGTAGTCTAAGCAGTGCCAAAGTTTCTTCTGAGTAACCAAAAGTGAGATCAATATGGCCGAAACATTGAGAAAACTTAGTGTAAACCCAGCCACAGGGTCCCTGAATTTGTGTTGGCTTTGGGTTTGGGCGCACATTACAAATTTGTTTGCACGGCTAATTTGGCAATGGTGTGGGTAACAAATACATAGATCATTGGCGTGGTGGCATGATACCAGGTGTACCATGCTACGCTGATTCTGTGGCACAAAAAAAAAAGCATTAAACGAAACGTAAACCAAATTTAAAACTAGAAACAAAAATGCTATTTGTAGGCTTCCAGGCGTAGCAGCAACTGCTGGCAGGACTCACGCTCATCCACTTTGGTGCTGCTGGTGGAGCTGGCCAGTTCCCGCACCAGATCCAGGATGCTCTGCAGGAAGTTGCCAAACTCCGACTCGTACTCGCCCACGCCCTCATCGAAGGCCTTCTCGTCACAGAGCGGAGTCTCCGCGAAGCCGCAGAAGTTCAGGCACACCTGGCCGAGCGTGAAGAGGGAGCGCACAAAGGCAATGGCCCCCGAGAGGAGGCCCAGGCGCAGGCACTCCTCCAGGCTGATGGCGAGCCGCTCGATCAGCTCGTCGATGTGCTGGCCCTTGTCCGCCACCAGGCTGATCATCTGCCAGCGCGGCTCCGCGATGTCCTGGGTGATGTGCTGCTCCAGGTTAATCATGCTGCCCAGCATGCGTTGGCGCAGCGCAGCAGTGCGAATGTTCTGCGAGATGAAGGTATTGCCCTCGGACGGGGCTTGCCACAGCGCTGACAGCTGGCGTTGCACGTAGCGCAGAAACAAGAGGACGCGCTGCAGCAGCTGTATCTTCTGCAACGGCTCCGAATGAAGGACGAGGCTGAGCGGCCACTTCGCGTCGTAGCGCAGGGCAAAGGCCTCGTAGCCGGAGAGACTTAGCTCCTCCAAGGGCTCTCCATCATCCTCGCTGGTGGTGCTCCCCTCGTTCTTGTCATCCTCTCCGTGCTCGTGAGTCATCAGCTTCTGCAGCTGGGTGGCCACATCGCAATCCTTGAGCTGGCAGCGCAGCAGCTCCTTGAAGGGATCATCCTGGATAGTCAGCAACGTCTCCGTGAGCAGGCTCTGCAGCATCTCCGGTATCATGCGGTCCACATTGCTATGCCAATGCTCCTGGCAGTTGGCCAGCAGGGCCTCCGCAAATTCCTCCTGCTGCAGCAGAAAGTAGTCGTGCAGATTGGCCAGATGCTTCTCCAGGTGGTGCTCCGTTTTCAGCACCTCCAGCAGTTTCTCGCCAGGCAGCGCGTAGCTGCTCCGAATGATCTCCACGTGGGCCTGCTCCTTGGGACTGTACTTGAGTGGAGTCTGCATCAGCGTCAGCTTCACGTTGCACTGCCGCAGGATATTGAGGTACTTGCCGGCATGGAAGATCTCCGCTGCCAGGGGGTGCAGGAAATCGGGCAGGCGCTCCGGCAGTAGGGTGTAGCGATTTTCCCAGTAGGCGTGGCAGCACTGCTCCGGGGCCAGGAGGGTGCTGCTCATGGAATTGGAACGCTCCGAATCCTCGACAAAGAACTCGTGCTGCATGTCGTAGATGATGCCCTTCTGTGTCCACAGTTGCACGATCTTCATGTAGACGCTGCTGACGGTGTCCAGGACCTGATCCACGAGCTCCTTCAGCTCCAGATCGCTGGGCTTCAGCTGCTGATAGATCTCATCCAAATGGGTGAGAATCTGGGCGCTGGTCTTCTTGCCGCGAGCACTGAGGCCCATCGAGCAGAACACCTTCAGGATGGTGATCCAGGGACGCACTTGCCGCACCAGATCCTTCAGAGAGAGCTTCCGCTCCTGCATCTCCGTCTCCATCTTCGACTGCAAGTCGTAGTACTGCTGCAGTTTGTCACCCAAGGCGGCGGCCAGGGCCAGCCTAGTGCGTCCGCTCCTCGGCGTCATGTTGGTGGTCTCAACGAAGCTCTGCACACTGATGAAGTGGCCGATCAGGGGCAGCGAGTCGTTGGCCAGGGCTCGAAAGGCTGAGTTGAATCCCTCATCGATCTTAAAGCGTACATTGGCTATATCCAATTGTTGCATCGTTGCGATCTGATCGATGTTCGCGTCCGGCTTGATGTGAGATGAGGGTACGCCCGAGAAGGCGTAGATGAGGTTGCGCACCAGCATCTGCTCCTGCCGAGCCAGTGGCATTTTGGCAATGTCCTCTGTGGGCATAAAGTAGCCACCCACACTCTCAAAGCTCCACGATTCCGACTTGGGAATGCTCTTCACCTCATGGATCATGCGCGCCTGCCTTTCCAGCTCCTCTTTGCTGAGGACCAAGCGAACGGTCTCCTCAATACTTTTGTTCAGATCAACGGAATCCATTATCAAAATAAATACAGCTATGCGTCAATCGTATAACGTCCATCAATTTTACATATATATCAGTAGCACACTTTTCGCTGGGATATAACGAAAATTGAAAAAGTTTAAACTTTTATATAAATTCTATACACATCCATTCACACATAAACAATCACTAAATGTAGAGTATCTATAAGTTGGCGATGCAAGAAAAAAATACAGAAACTACGCAGCAAGAGTCCCGTTTGTCGCTTTTAGCATTTGCTGAGAGCGAGAGAGCAAGTGCTGCTCTATTGTTGTTGCTGCTCCTGAGAGAAGAATAGAAGAGCAATGGAATGAACCAATATTGCAAGAAGGTGTGTGTGTGTGTGTGTGAGGTGCGAATATCGTAGAGACAGAAACAGAAGCAGAAACAAAAGCACACATCACAATGAAATGAAGATCAAGAAATAAGGCAAGAACAAAAACAAAAAACAAAACAGGCAGTCCATCTCTTTCTTTCTCCCATTCAACATATTCTCAAACGGTCTCTGAAGCATATGTATGTATATTTAAAAAACCCAAGTCCAAATTAAAATTATTTTCTCATTGCTCTCAACTTACTCAGATAATAATGGTACTGATTCTCATTCATTGTTCCTACTGCTTCCGATTACCTACTGCAAATTTCTTATTTCCCCAGCCAGCCGTGCCAGGCAGAAGGTTTGTCCAACGTACCTTTGTTTTCCATGAATGAGCATCAAAATTCATGTGGATCCCACCGTACTGATCGGCGACATCTGCTTCACAGGTGCCACAAATGAATATGGGGCCTGGGGATCAGACAAACAGCTAGCTAGCTGTCCATCAAAGGGAGAAATATGGATGTAGCTGAGCGAACGTGCTGAGAATTGTCCATCAATTTCTCTCCAATGAGAAGAGCTCCAAATTGTAAACGAGCTGTGCAACAACTTTCTCGTTTCTCAGTGTATCATGGGAGATCACGGAAATGTCGTACAAGCAAACAATTACAATATGAGAGCACTTCTGATACACTTTCCTGGGAAATTACGTTATTTATCAGATGTTTGTTTCCCGTTGCTAAGTCCTTTGAAGCTCTTTGGTATAAATAGTTGAACAGAACAGTATTATTGTCTGTATACATAATCTGTAACCCCCAAAATCGCAACACCAAATCCTATGACTACCATAAAAATGTTCTTTCTAGAAGGGTATCAAAAGCATCGGCTCCCGAAGTAAGAATTCTCTCTCTTTTTATTTATGTGCTTTTGTCGCGTGAGCTGTAGTTGTCGTATTTTTGTTGCTTCTCTCCTACTGTACTGCCTCTGCTGCTGCTTCTCTCTCGCTTTCTCGTTGTTCGCATTCTAAACAATGCAAATGCAGCGTCAGCGTCTGCAGCTGCAGCGGCGCAGTCGTCGGCAGCAGAAACATTAGCATAAATAAATAAATAACCGTAATACAGCAATAGCAGGAGCAGCAACGAAAGAAGCAACAAATTGCATTGGCAACGCGACCAAGCAAGTAAACAACAACGCTGACAGGCAGCAACACTAACAACAACAACATTTATCCGATGTGGGCTTTTGTCTCCGCTTCTGTTTCTGTGTTTGCTTTCCTCTCCTTCTTCCATTTGCTTGGAAGTAGGATAACGGCGCTTGCACTTGCTCTTCTTCTCAGAGAATTGTCTAGAAACGCCCACGCACATGCAAAGCACAGTGGGATTGAATTTAATAAGAGTGGAATGTATCGATGCAACATTTTTCAATTGCATAGAATATGTTAGAATTTTATATTTGTACCCGTCGATGACGTAAATTGGGGGCTTAATTTGGGCCAATAAATCTCGGTACCATATGGGGACTTCAATTATGGTCATGGCCCATATCCAGCTTGTATTATTTTATTTACTCAGTTAAAAACTAACGATAAACCAACCACTCCAACACCTATCCACTTTTTACCCTTTCAGCAACCACTGTACCTAGGCCAGGCATTTCCTACACATGTACAGCACGAGCAGTACTAACACCTTCGCCTTCACCGACTGTTGCTTTTGCTATCGTTTTCTGCCTCTGTCGAGCCTCTGCCGCTAGTAGATGCCGTTACTGTTTGACTGCCGACAGTCAAATTTAGTGCACAGCTAGGCTACAGTTTTTGGGCAGAGAAGTTTGCAGCGGCGCAGCGTCAGTTAATACAAAAGAGAGGGCGCGGTGAACACAAGGGCGTTAAAGTGCGCGATGTGCTTTGACTGCAAAAAAACCCCGTTTTCAGCTTCGATTTTTCAGTTTCGGTTTTTTGTTCGGTTTATTGCATTATTTATGTAGTTTCGCAGTCAACCACACGCACGCTAGCCACACAAAATATGTGTAAACAAAACGACCAGGCGACAGAAAAATAAAACAAAGCGGCAGCAAAGCCGATGGTTTGATACCCTTCTGAATTCATGGTATGTATGACATCTTTAATACGATTTTGATCTGCTTTGGCATAGTTGTGAAAGAATATATAAAATACACATAAATATATATGTACATTCCTATGTACGTCCATATCGCCCATTTCCAACCTCTATACAGAATCATAATAACTCCTGACAGGTTATCAATAGAGTATCATTGGGTGACAATCGCAATTGCAACTCTCAGTCTCAGCTTGAGTCTCAGTGCCGGCCTCGGTGTGAGCCCTCTCTCTCTCTCTCTTTCTGTCTCTCCCCGTGTTACTAGCGCCGCTGTCGCCATCGTCGCCTTTGCTGACAAACGCGGCCGCATTCTCATTCAAACAACAAACGCAAACGCAACTGAAGAAACAGCAGTCCGTCCGCGTACCGGCAGCAGGGAACACACGCCTCCCTTAGCACCCCCAAACCAACCGAAAGTGGATCCAGTGAAAAGTGAAATTTCGCAGTAAATATTCTCTGCCGATTCCCAGGAGAACTTCTGTTCCCCCGATAACAAAAAAAAGTGTTATGTTAATTGCCTGCCGCGGTGCCCCCGCCCGCCATTCGGTTGTGTAGTGTTTTCGTTCGTTTAATGTTGGAGGAGCTGCCCACGCGCCAGCAGGTCGGAGTCTGGCTGCACCGCCTCCTGCTGCTCGTCCTCGACGTCTGGCAGCACTGCAGCATGTCCTTTGCACGCCGTCGCCAGGGGGCGCTCAAGTGGATTAAAAAGCGCCTGGCGCGTCGCCGCAGTCGCGTGAGTATTACGGGAAACCAATTGGGGGTCCCAAGTGGGTCACGTCATTCTCTTATTCTTGGGGATTTTGGGTAACATTTTTAACTGGAATTCAATTAAAAATCATTCACTGTTTCAGTGTCTGCCTGCAAATTCAATTAAAGACAATCATTTCGGTGGATTTTGCCGCAATTCTTGGCTAATTTTCTGTTTCCTGGTAATCGAGGGCGCCACCAGAAGGGTTAGAAAACTTTTGCATTTGCGTGACTCGCGATAATTTCTCCATCAGACGCCAAAAGGCAGTCTGAGGCTTTGTTCCGTTTCCGCTAGCGCTAGTGCCATCCAAAACCACCCCATAAACACTCCACCGACCGGGAAGGTGTGTCCATCGACCTGAGGGAGACATAGGCTTGGTTCTGGCTCTGGCACTCTTCATCCCTCCGTCAAAATAGTTGGCGTTGAGCGATTGTGGCTGTCAGTTTGGATAACATTTACCATTTAGCCACATTTTGCAGCCCTGTTATCAATTCCCAACAACAGACGGACGGATTGGTGGGGGGTGGAGCTTTTGTGGGGTCTCCTCCTCAATGTTCAAATCAAATTTTATGAAAGTTGACTCTTTAGTTGATTTTTGGCAATTATTTGTTGTGCGATTTCGAAATTTTTGTGTATTGTTGAGGGTAACTATGCGGATCTTAGGCTGCCAGGGCACGTAGCGTGGGTTTGGGAAGGGGTATGAAGGGGGAATGCAGTGTATGCTTAGTGCATATCAAAGAGTTTTCTAATACAGTAAACAGATTTAGATGAGCCAAACATAGTGCCACGCCACACAAAAATAGGTAATTTGATGATGACATTGGGAGATTGTAGAGGAATTAACACTGAATTATCCACAAAACTAAAGAAACAAATTGATTAAATATGAGACAAACAAATGTTTAATCACATATCTTGTTTTGTCTTCGGACTATCCCGAAGAAATAAGACTCTCTCTTGGCGCAGAACTTCTTTCTTTGAAAAAAGTGGGTGTTCCGCTCAAGAGAGCTGTCAGAATTTAAAATATTTCAAATGAGGAATGAGCAAGCTCATTTGAAAGGGCTCTCTTAACCCCCATCGTTAACCCCCAATTAAAGACCGCACGAATGACTCCGATATAAATCACAAGCACGACTCTACTATGATTCACATGTGCATAGGTTGTGCATTAGTCTAATAATTTAATTGATTTTAATTGATTCGCTGGCAAGCGGAAATATTAATAGTCTTAATCACAAATTTATAAACGAGTATTTATTGCCCCAAGAAACAGAAACAGCAGCAGTACGGTCTCGTAATGTTCTTATTACAAATGAAAATATGACAGGGAGAAGGGAGAGGGCACTTAATGTTTATATTTATAGCACTCTTTGGATGTCTGTCTGGCAGTCTGTTTGGGTGTCTTTTTCCCCCAAAGCCATTGTTTATCCTCTGGACAAATGTTTATTCTCAGGTTCCCACTCAAACTTCCAGATTTATGAAACTGAAAGAAGAATAAACAACACTCAACGGATCGCATGTTCCCGATTATCGAAACCTCTTCGAAAGGACCCCCATAGCTCCCCGGATGGTCTTCCCTCGTTAGCGCTTTTAGCTGAACCCTGTTTCTGTGTGTGTCTTTTTGAGGGAAGTTTGAAGCAGCCGTAAACAAATGCCTGTCCAAAAAGGCATAAACTTATCCACCGACAAAGTAGAAAAAACTACGAGCAACAGAACGCCATATACCCGTATTCTCATATACCATAAATGAGAGAACTTGCCACCAAGTTCAAGGCAGAATTTTGTTGCAGAGATGTCTCAATGCTTTATAGTCCACAATTTGTGGGGGAACTGAGAAATGACGGTGGAGCCGCCACACACAATAGCCATAGCAATGGCACTGTGTGCATAAAACAGACCTCCACACGACACGACAAACACAACTGACTAACAAAAGCTATAAGGGGAATTTTTGTGATTTAAAAGTCGAACAATTATGTACCCTGTGAAGTATTTTTTAAGAGTAATTATTTACCCTTAAAGGAAACCGCTTTCTTGGTATTCCAGAGTTCCTTTATGAATGATCTTGTTTGGGATTATAAGAAAACAATGATCTTGTTTTAAAAATTACTTGAATTTAAATGGGAAATATATTTACTAACATTTGAGCAGAGGGTTTTTTCTATGATTTATAGATTAAAGATAACAAAAAGCTTAAGATAATAAGATAATAAATAATAAATAATAATTAAAATTATTGCTTTGGACTCCTTTAAGGATTATAATGCAAGTTGTGCACACATTTTGGCTGAGTATTACTTAATCAACACTTTCTATAAGATCTTTCGATCTTTAATTAAAGTTCGTTTCCAATGGCTTCACAAACTTAAAATTAAAGACAGGGAAATTAAAAGCTTTAAAGCTAAAACCAAACTTGGGAAAAACAGAACAACTGATGATTAAATGAGGAAAAAGTTAAGTTCTGTTTTACGAATGGTCTGATTTGTACTCTTTAAGGTACCTTAATTAAAAGTTGTCTTTGTTTTTAAGTGGTTCTTGCAACACTTAGCCACAAACCGTATGTCAAAGCGTTGATATCCTAAAAATTCACCCGATAATTGTGGGTGCGGTGTGTGTGTGTTTGCCATTGATGATGATCCACGAGAGCGTACCCTGCCGTACCGTGCCGTCCATGTCCATTCAATCGAAGCGTTCGTTGAGTCACAGACGATTGTGGGAGAGGAGGGAAACGGAATAAAGCGGAGACGAGTGGTGGACGGCAGAGGGAAGAGGGAGGGAGCCAAATATCGCATTCATTCAAAGCGTTTCGCACGCATGGGGGAAAATCATTGAAGCCTGCAAATGGCTGTGACGTGGAAATGGCCGATAGGAATAATGGGATGGGTCTGCCTCTCTGTTGTATAGGTGTATATGTAACTGTATCTGTATCTGTGAGTTACACCCTCGCCCATAAGCTGAACCTCATTTCAATTTAGTTGCCACAAAGCGCTTGCCGCAAACGCAGGCCTCAAACAAACATACAAAAAAACTATTCGAACGAAAGGAAAATCCAACTGAAAAACTGAACGAAATTTTGTGCGCGCTTTTTCAGTTTTGGTGATTTCTTGGGCCCTCGCTCTGGACTGGCGCTGGAACCTCGAAAGTCCAACTCTGAATCTGAATCTGGCTCTTACCTTTAGGCCCCCATTGCCAGAGTACAGTGGAGTACAAACTTTGTATTGATAAATTGCCAGCCAACGATTTCCGTCGTGACCTGTGCGCGTTATGCAAAAAAAAAAACAAAACAACAACAACAAAAAATGCAACAAAATGTAAATAAATATTAAAAATAATACACAAAAATCAACCCAAAAGCCACCACGAGACGGTAGGGAGGGAGAGACACAGTGCCTTCCTTTTGTATGTGCCTTCCCCCTTTTTTTATGTGGATTTGCTGTTTTGTTCAGAGTGAAAAATGAAGTGAATCTCTGTCTCTTTCGTGAGCCTTTTGTTGTTGCAGACACAGCAGTGAAGAAGGGGGAGGAGGAGGAGGAATCGTAATACTCGTAATACTCGTAATAATAATAATAATAATTTAAACCGACAAATTTTTGAAAAGATTTTCCTTATTTATGAAAACAATAAACGCAACGCATTCGAAAAAGGGGACCCTCCATCCGCCAATTCTCCAGCAACTCCTGCATCTCTGTCTCTCTTTCGGATGTCGATGCATCGATGGATTGGCGGCACCACCACCGCCGGCAGTTTCCTGGCACGCATATAATTTGCATGTGCATCGGACGCTGCTGCTGCCCGCCGTTGCTGCATCTCGATCTTTGAGAAGGAGACGTCGGAGGAGTAGACGGCTGCCCCGCTGCATCGATCTTTAAGGAGGAGGCCATGGCTTATGTAATCTGGAAAATATTCATGAGGCAATACGCTCGTCGCCTCCACTACAATACGCAGCAGCAGCAGCAGCAGCAGTCGACATTGATCTGGCATTCGTCGTACGACTATGCGGCCATTCAGACGGTGGGTTTTTATTTGGTTGTTTCTGTTTCTGCAACGTACCACGTACCAATTGTGGGGGCACGTTTTCCCTTGCGCCCTTTTATTGATTTAAATTGAGTCATTTTTCTCCTCTGTTGGCCACAAAAGTAATTGTGGATTAATGTGGCCTAAAGCTTAAAGGCTTTACCTTTAAGTGAGCGCTCAAACAGATCCAACGGGGGGAATTCATATTTTTTGTTGTTGGGGGGCGTGAAAGTTGATTTGTGATTAAACGTTGCAGCATTCCACTCCGTTTCGTTAAGGGAAGGAAGTTTCAGATCCAAATTTGGGGAAAGTTTTGTGTTTGTTGGATTTTTGGGAACTTATTTCCAGGCAACAGGTTTTCCCCTTGAATGAAGTGTGGGGTGTATCTGACTCTAGAGATTTATGTAGAGTGCATTTCCTGTTGGTAAGGAGCAGGAAGGGACATCTAGTGATATTTGATCTATATTTGATGTTATAGAAGTTAAAAGTCGAAATTTCCGTTTTGTTTTGTGCTTTTGTCCATCATCGCTCTCCACCCATCAATCCAGCTCGGTTAGTTCATCTATGAAGAGAGCTGCACGCCACTTGCGACGCTTCGCTCTGAGCTCCTCTGCGGCCTTCGCCTCCTGTTGCCGCCGCGCTAGGAAGTCAGCCCATGGAATCTGAATATCGAACAGGCCGCGATGGGGCTGCAAGATCGGCAATGTTTTCCGTGGATCCGGAAAGTTGCGTATGACCGATGTGCCATCCAAAATTCGTCGCTTCCAGAAGGCCTTGACCAGCGGCAGCGGTGGCCGGTCTGTGCTGCTGTTCCTCAGTTGGAGGCCAAGGCGTGGCCCTCTGGCGACGGTCTGCGATGTGGCAAGGAGTACCTTGCGGATGGGCATTCCTCCGAATGAGCGACAGTTGTTTGTCATCCTCCGCGACTCGATTGAACGTTTTGATTAAAGTTTTCTTTTGCAACGAAAACT